CTTCTTAATTATCCTTGTGAATGGCAAATTTGAAGGGGCAAACATTTCTGTATTAGGGGCAAAGCAGCAAAAAAATAGATCTATAAGTAGGCTTGGATTAGATTTTTTAGTAAATGTCAGTAAACGTTAATTTCACTGTACACATACAAACCAATGACAAATATTTCTATCGATGATAGAAATGTACAGATAGGCAAAGTAGGATAAATGCTGCTTGAGAACGTCTTAGTTTGATTTCGGGTATTTATTTTGTATATTTTGCATGAGATGTTGGCAATTTGTGTTTTAATGGCTATAAAGCTTTAATGTTTTGAATCTTAACATTAAATAATTGCCTGCCCCCCCCATTTCCTACAACTGTGAAAATTTAAAACAATCAAAATAGAAAAAATGCTTAAATATAAATGTTTGTCAAACCTTTTTTAAAAATTCAAATAGAATTCTGCCCATCTTATCTGTAAGCTTGAAATCGACTTTGAACAAATTGGTGCTTGATTCACTAGGATATTGGAACCACCATTCACCTGGAGTGAAACCACATGATGGCCTGATTATTTTAAAAAAAGGACCTGTTGTGGATAGACCACTTTATATAGATCTTGAACGAGAAGGAAAAGATAAGTGCCTGATGTCAGTGGCTGCCTCTAGAATTACACTTAACTAGAATCTCATGTCCACAACAAATGACAATACGCATGCATGTTTAACAACGCTTTTAACCACCTGCCTTTCTGGCCACATGGGGCTAGCTCATTTGTACTGAATGCTTAATCTACTTGGAATCTGTATTTATGGCTGGAAGACTTTATCTGACACTTGTTACAATTCTGAATTTAAAAAAAAATACTTCCTGCATTCTTAACTACAAAGTCATTTAACCTGAAGTGTTGAAGCAAAAGTAACCAGCCCTCTCATCATAAAGATGTTTGTTGTTTTCAGCCTGTTTTTGACAATTATCACTACTAAAGGCAAGAGGAAAAATGCAAAATCTGCGCTCCGTAACTCCCCGTCTCATCTAGGAGAAATGAGTCCATAGAATTTGCAAATTATTTCACACGGGCAAGGTTATTCCTGCACAGTGAAAAGACGTATATATAATGGAGAGAATATGAAAATAGGTATATATAGCATGTAAAATATAAACTCTGAGAACTGGAATAAATAGAATGCTTTTTGGTTTTCTTAATTAAAAATAAAAGAGGACCATATACTCGAGTGTCTCTCTTGGTATTAAAGAGGCAATAGAAATGTATTGTATATGTAACCATAAACATAGGAAGCAATAAGCATATACCTTAAGATCTGCACTAAGGACTGTGGCTATGTCTGCGCTACAGCTTATGTTGGCATTACCCATGTCGTGGAGGGGTGTGAATAATCCATCCCCTTGAGCAATGTAATTTACACCGAATAGCACTGCCCACACCGGTGCTTATGTCCGTGGGAGAGCTTCTCCCGCCGACATAGCTACCACCCCTTGCGGGAGCTGGAGTAGCAAAGCTGACGGGAGAATTCCCTCCCATCGGCTTAGGATGCACTAGCTGCACTACACAGCTGCATCGGTGCAGCCATGCCACCGTAAGCTCTGTAGTGTAGCTGCAGCTTGAATTGTGTGAGCAATGCCCCGTTGGAAATGACCACTTAGGAAGCATCCTCAAGATTTTCCAATACTTTTTTTAATGTTTAACTAAAGATCAGCTGTTTTTGTGTTGTTTCTTTGTACTGTGCCTAGTATACTGGGTTCCAGAGGTGAGTTCTTTGGTATTACTACAATAGAATGAAGAACTAATAATTAAAAGGGAACTGTTTTTTTGTTGGTCCCTTGTTTGGTCACTTAGTGCAAATTGTCTTCTCTCTGGTCACATATATTAACTGAAGGCAATAGGAATCTATTTAGATTGCTCAAGAAGTATTATTATTATTTTACACTAAACATACAAGCTGACACAAAACTTGACTCAGTGAACTATGATCTAATGCAGGCACAGGAAAATTAGACTTAGTACAATGACAGGTTTCAGAGTAACAGCCGTGTTAGTCTGTATTCGCAAAAAGAAGGAGTACTTGTGGCACCTTGGAGACTAACCAATTTATTTGAGCATAAGCTTTCGTGAGCTACAGCTCACTTCATCGGATGCCATGAGTACAATAGGTGCCATGAATTTGTGAGAAAGATGAGATGAGAGATGTATTGCAAGCAGCCACTGTGGAAAGGCTTCCTGGAGGAAGTTTGGAGAAGGATTGGGAGGTCTCAGGGTGCTAAAGAAAAACCAGACTTCCAAGCATAAGAGGCAGTATGGGAGAAGGACAGATGCAGGGCACTTAGAAGGGAGGCTTGGGAAGTGGAGTAGGAAGAAAAGAGAGCTGAGATGTAGGCTACAGCAAGACTCTGCAGGGATGTAAAAGTGAGGACAAGGAGATTGAATTTGATGAGAAAATTGAGGGGGAAATGCTGAAGGAATTCAGAGAAAGAAGGGACATGTTTGGAACAGTGGGAGAGGAAAATTATTTTAGAAGCAGCATTTTAGATAAGCTGGAGGGGGAAAGGTGTGAACATGAAACTTTGACTTTCAAGTCTGCCTCTGAGCTAATTCTTGCTGAAGTGGTAGCTAACATTTTATGGCTACCGAAATATATGTAATGTCTTTCTGTCTTTTCAAGTAAAGTTTAAAAAGCCTGGGGCTCTCTTCAAGCTTCTAGCGGCCAAATTGTTGTTGCTCTCTGCCAACTGGGATCAACAGTCATCTCAAGCCAGGCTTCACATAAGTACAAAGCAGATGCAGTAAACTCGCATGTGATTTTTGTTCCCTCATCAATCTCAGGTTATTGGCAATCCCAAAACGTGATCAGGTTTAGGAGGTTTTTTTTCTTAAGAGAATCTCTTAGACTTTACTCATAGGTGTAGTTTGACATCTTTGTTTGGGCGGGGCAGCTCCAGTCATGCCAATGGGGCTGCGTTGAGGGGGGGCAAATTCTGCACCTGCCCAAGACTTGCAGTTTGCAGGGGGGAGGGCAATGCCCATGACTTTATTAGTAAGCAAAACCTTGTAAATGCCATTGAGATGAAGAGTGTCTTCATCATGTGTGCTCCTGTGTCCACAACTAAAGAGTAAAGCAATAACTACAAAGTAACCAGTAACCTAACACTGGCATACACACAGTAACAATGGGGAAATGAAGCTTCTCATCAGAAAGTGGTTTGAGCCAGATTCAATCCAGCTATAATATGGTTTAATGGCTTTTCAAATGGGTACCTGTTAACTAAATTACCATTCATATTAATTAATATTTCAGAAGTATGTGCAGGCCTCAGTCAGGCTGGGGTTTGTTGTCCTGAATGCCATCCCTGCCTCAATCTTAGTTTAAGACAAGAAATAACAGGTGGGTGAAACTGTAGTGTGGAAAGCCAGAGTAAGAGTAGTATGAGCATGTTTTTTCAGAGACTAGCTGTGTGCACAGTTGATTGGTATGTGTATATTTTGTTAAGACAAATCAGCCGTTCAGTAGCAATAGTCTCAGCTCATCAGCTACCTGACCCCTCTCAGCTGGTGGTGTTCTGTAGTCATGAAGGTGGAGGACAGGGCAGTGGCTTTTTGGTGTGACATTATGGTGGCTTTTTCAGGGAATATATTCCATGCCTAAGGGATGGAATGGAAGGAAGCTCAAAGGTGTTTGTGGGAGAGGCAGACAAGTGGTGGTCGATCCTGCATTGTTGGCAGAGCAATAAAATAATAGAGCAGGTAGGTATGGCTGGGCTACATTGTGAGAGGCCTTGAAGGTAAGGGCAAGAAACTTTTATTTGGCATGGTTGAGACAGGATTCGTATGAGGTGGGGGGATTGACATGGTCACAATGATGGGACAGGTAGATGATTTCAGCAGCAATGCTTTGATTGGACTAGAGTGGGGCAAGGTTGCAGTAGCCATGATGTGAGATGAGCACCTTGGGGTGTGGACAGAGAGGAAAGGTGGAACTCTGAAATGTTATGAGGGAAGAAAGGGCAAGATTTAGATATAGCCTGAATATGTTGATGCCTGAGGTTATGGGGCTGAATGATTGGGAGGAAGCTAGATGGTGGTGTCCACAGTGACAAAGAAAAGAGGACAGGGGAGGAAGGGGCTTGAGGGTGGATCAGGAGCTCAGTTTTGACAATGTCAAATTTAAAGTGAAAATCTGCTTCCTTCAGGCTGGAGGAGAGCTAGTGTAGCACTCTGCATTAGCTAAGTGTGTGTGATCTTTTCATCTCTAGTGACTCGTCCATGTAGTGGATAAGAGCCTGCAACGTATGCACAGCTAATTCCATTAGTTCGTGTGTTAGGTGCTTATGCATATATTGTGGAAGGTCCTGAGTTCTGTCCCTGCTGACAATCCCTGGTGGTTTCATAGTGATAGACTCAAGGAGCTCAGTCTATTTAGCTTAACAAACAGAAGGTTAAGGGGTGACTTGATTATAATCTAGGAATATCTACCTGTAGAATAGATATTTAATAATGTGCTCTTCAGTCTATCAGAGAATGGTATAACATGATCCAATGGTTGAAAGTTGAAGCTAAACAAATTCAGATTGGGAATAAGGAATAATTTTTTAACGGTGAGAGTAATTCACCAATGGGTCATGGTGGATTCTCCATCACAATTTTTGAATCAAGATTGGATGGTTTTTCTAAAAGAAATAATTTAGGAATTATTTTTGAAAGTTCTGTAACTTGCGTAATACAGGAGGTCAGATTAGATGGTCCTTTCTGGTCTTGGAATCTGTGAATTACACTAGGTTCATGTCAGACTGTTTTCACCCTTCGGTTCCCATCCTAGTCATGGCTTTTCAGTCACATGCATACATGAAGTCCAAGTTGGAACTTAACTCTTAATTTTCATTTTTGATATACTGTATATATATTAATCAACATACAATGAATAGTTTACTTGATACGTGTTTGTACGGTCTATGATGTAACATGGCTATAAGGTTCACACGGTGTTAATATTTATATATTCAATAGGAAATAGCCCGTCACCTCCGACCTGGAACCCTGCGTGCCATCTTTGGTAAAAACAAGATTCAGAATGCTGTGCACTGTACAGATCTACCAGAGGATGGACTTTTGGAGGTAAGGTTCAACAATTCTACACACCCTTTTTATAACCGGGTTTTTTAAAATTAGAAAATAAACCTAACCATTTCTGGAGCTATTTAAAATGTGTTGTGTTGAGAGTAATAGTACGGGAATCTAGTGATAAGTTAAAAATAAAACAGCTGGTGACTTTATTAAGAGAAATTAATTCAACTACACGAGCAAGCTGGAGGCAGCATTCTAGTTCATTATGTTGCTTGAGAACTCCACCCATACAGTTTTCTCAGGATGTTTCTGAACAAAGTAGTGAACCAATGTCAGAAGCATTATATCATCAGGACCCTCTCATTGGCTGGACCTATCCTGAGGGCATGTCTAGCAATGTGACAAGTGCATAAGGTTGCAAAAACTCCTCTTGGTGATCAGCTTTGTTTTAGACAAAGGGGGTTCGGGTGCGGCAGGGGGCTCAAGGCAGGGGGTTAGGGGGCTCAGGGCAGAGGGCTGGAGTGCAGGAGGGGTTTGGGGTGCAGGCTATGGCTCGACACCGCTTACCTCGAGCGGTCCTGGGGTGGAAGCAGCAGGCCCCACGCTGCTCCCAGAAGTGGCCAGCATGTCTGGCAGTGGCCCCGGGGTGAGTGGGGAGAGCAGGCGGCTCTGCCGTGCGCTGCCCTCGCTGCAGGTACCATCCCCGAAGCTCCCATTGGCCACGGTTCCCTGTTCCCGGCCAATGGGAGCTGCAGGGGTAGGTGCCTGCAGGTGAGGCCAGTGCATGGAGCCCTCTGCCCCCTTCCTTCTTCCCCCAGGGGCCACAGGGAAGTGGTGCCGGCCACTTTCGGGAGCAGCACGGGGCCAGGGCAGGCAGGGAGCCTGCCTTAGCCCCGCTGTGCCATGCAGCTGGCAATCCCGTGGGCTGGATTGAAAGCCCTGATGGGCCAGATCCAGCCTGTGAGACGTAGTTTGCCCTCCCCTCCTTTAGATGATTATCAGAGAAAGGGTTTAACCCCTTAAGATAAACCACCCAGAGCTGACAGGCATTTCAATATATCTAGGAGACTTTCATGTATATTGTTAAACAATATGGGCCAGATTCACCAATTTACCCTGGCTGCTTTTCATGAAAGAAGTGGCACAAAGAAGCTGGAGTATACTAGTGAATATGGCCCTGCTTCTCCTCAATGAATTTTAAGGCTGAAGTTCTATCTCAGTGTTTTGATTGCATGAACTCAGACATCACTGTCATGGTTCATGATGTCCTCTGAATCCGCAGTGCATTCACAAACTTAAGCATATTATTTCATAGCATGTTCATTCTTATTTTAAGCATGTGCTTTGCAGTCCATAAACATTCCTCTTTTTCTAAATTACTTTATCATTGGCGCATTTGCCCCCACAACATGGCTTTGCAGCTGTCAATTGTTTCTTCAATGATAGTTTGAGCTAAAGCAACAATAATGAAGACCATCAATCCAATGTGCATTTTTAATGTAACGAAACAGTGAATACTGCATTGTTTCCTTGGCAAGCGGACATTGTTTTATAAATTACTAGAGCTTTTCGATTCCTAGAATGCATACATTTCTAACTCTTCTTTTTAATCTCAGTTTTGTAGTTAACTGAAAACCCAGCTAAGCAGAAATAAAAAAGAACCTCTGAAGGGTTTTATGGTCCTGGTACATACAACCACTTTACTTGTCATACCTGATGAAATGGTAGTGATGTAATATGCATTCGCGTGATCCTAGGGAAGGACTGCACTGAAAAGCTTATTGAGGATGAGATGGAGAGGGTTCGTACAAATTTCCTCAGAGCAAATCCCCAAAGTCTCGGTCTTTGAATAGCATAGACTAGACCTTTATTTCTGTAATAATAATAGTAATGTACCACCTTTCATCTCAAAGTGCTTTAAATCTCTCTATATACTGTACAACTGCATTGAAGTGCAGCCACTGCTGGAGTGGAGTATAGCAACCAAATGAACACAAGCAGGAGGAAATTTTGGTCAAGACTCTGAGGCAAACCGCTGATCTTACGAAAAGTGCTATGGTAATGATTTTTTTGTGTGTGGATAATTTAGCATTTTAATAATACATTGAATTCAAAATATCAAATATTTTGGGCCTCAGACTAGGTGAACTTCAGAGAGAGTGAATTCACTCTCCAGTAGGAGACAAATTTGTGGGTCCCACTCATGGTTCCCCATCACTACATAGTGGAGCTGGCAGGATCTAGTCAGTTTCATACATTTCGATGGAAAATTTGCTCACTCTGCCACTATTATGATGCTGCAGATGTTGCTGCCATGAAACCTTGGTGTGCCATTGCTGGATACTTGATTAGCTGAGAGAGACTGGACTAAATTCATCATTGGTATAACTCCATTGAGTTTTATGGAGTTATGCCAGAGATAAATTTGGCCTATTGTGTTCTCATGCCAATATGAGAACAATCCCTTGTAATGCCCAAACGGAGGAGACACTTGACCCTAGCTGTAACTTTTCTACCTGAATAAAAGCCAGACCTTTTGGTGTAGAATTATTTCTGCACTGCATCACATCCCTGGGATACTTGTGTAAAAAATGAGCTCCCCAGATGCATCCCCCTCTACTCTGGCCACCAACAAGGCCCTGGCTTCTACAATCTGACAGTATGCAAATCCCTGCACTCCAGCCAGCTGAGAGAGGTGTGCTGGAGTGATCTGGGTACAGACATGGGAACTCCTGAGTTTCAGCTCCACTTCTGTCTGTCTGTCTCTCGGCTGAGTCACTTCCAGAAATTTTGTGTGAAAATCTCATAGCAAAGTTTTCTGCTACATTTTTGGCAAAAAGTGAAATGTTAAGTGCAACCAAGACTTTGCAAAACAAACCATAAAATTAGTGTTAAAAATAATGGTGGGAAAACTTATGAGCTTTTACTTTATTTTTTTGCCTTGCTCTGTATAACTGCATTTTGTTTTGTGTTGAATAGCACATGGACTCATTTCACCTCCTGGGTCGGAACATAGGCTGCAAGCCCAGAGGCAGTAAGTCTGCCTGGAGTGAGTTGCCTGTAGCCCTTGGTCTGTCAGAGTGGTGGTCTGGAGCCAGTTGTTGCTGCCCCAAAAGAAGGCAGGGCCAAACTGAGAGCATATGTGCTCATTCATTGCATAGCCCAGGCAGCCTCTAACCCAGGGCTCCTTGGCAATCGTATTTGTTACACCTCACTTGCCCTTCCCTGACGAATCCCACTTCTAGTGCAAATATCCTGTGTGCACAAGGGACGCAGAGAGTGGCCTTCTGCTCTGGGAAGAATAAATTTGTCCCAGTATGTTTGTAAAAGGAAAACTTTAATCCTATGTGTTATTGACCAAAGCAGCAGCAGGAGGATTATTCATTGGTTGTATTATCCTGGTACCTAGAGGCCCAATCAAGATTGGGGCCCTGGTGTGCTAGGCATTGTACAGGTACATAGTGAGAGACAATCCATGCCCCAAAAACCTTACATTCTAAATAGACAAGATGGTCAGAGGAAGTATTGTGGTTCCCATTTTGCAGATGGGAAACTGGGGATGGGGCAATCCCCAAATCCTAATACAGACTTGTGACATTTGCCCTTGTATAGCCAAACTGAGACCGAGAAGGGGCATCTGATTACCCTGTCACCGTGTCCTTAGGCATGTATGGTCAGTATTTGCTGAGTGGAAGAAGGAAGGAGACTGCTTTAGGCTGGGAGAGAGAGGAAGAACTTTTCAGCCTTGTGACAGACTCTTCAACTGATTTTTGAGTGCTGTTTAGTAGCAGGCTACCCCTGATTTCCATAGGATTCATTTAGGTATTCCTGTTTCTACGCGCTGGTTATTTTAAGATCTCTCTCTCTCTCTCTCTCTCTGGCAACTGCAAAATTACTAATAACCTCTGGTTAAAGATCGACCTGAACTGGATTTGGAGAGTGTTATTTGGGGCAGTTGCTGTTCAGCTTGCCCACAGATAGAACAAAGTATTTCAACCTCTTAAAAGAGAGAGAGATAGTAGGTAACTGAGGGCAGCCAGATCTCAGGTCATTGAAGTTGATAGCTAATCTCTCACTGACCTGGATAGTGCAGGATCCTGACTTAGTCCAACACTGCTGGGATGGAGCAGACTGTGGCCTTCCTCCCACAAATAGCATCCCAGAGTTACAGGTGTGGACCATTGTGAGTACAGGGAAAGCTGAAATGAGCTAGATCCCAGGTGTTGCAACAAACATTATTATAAAATAACATTTAGTCAAGTTTGTTAATTCTGCACACTAACTTTTCATTGCTGCCTGGTAGTACTCTGTCTGTCAGGCTGAAAAATGAGGAAGCAACTTAAAAAAACCCAGTTCATTGTCACTGGCTCTCTATAGTCGACCCTGACCTCTTGGCTTTGTTCTGCAAACTACTCCACATTTTAGCTAGTCACTAAGCACCTCAGAGTTAATGATTAACTCTGGTGACTGAGTCAGGAGGGTGGAGTTGCAGTTTAGCCTGAAGCATTGGCTGTAACGACAGAGAGCACATTTTCATTCATAAAATTATAACTTCTGTTTTTATTTCTGGTATAATTTGGGTGATGGGAAAAATAAAAGGAGTACTTGTGGCACCTTAGAGACTAACCAATTTATTTGAGCATAAGCTTTCGTGAGCTACCATCCGATGAAGTGAGCTGTAGCTCACGAAAGCTTATGCTCAAATAAATTGGTTAGTCTCTAAGGTGCCACAAGTACTCCTTTTCTTTTTGCGACTACAGACTAACACGGCTGTTACTCTGAAACCTGTCATTGGATGTGCAGTTAAATCTATCTAAAGTGCTCTTCACTTTGCTGAATCAGGACCTTAATTATTCCTCTGTATATGTGTTTACATCCTTGCATGTTTGCATCAGTATATATTAATGGTGATAACATGAAGCTTATGCCCAAATAAATTTGTTAGTCTCTAAGGTGCCACAAGGACTCCTCATTGTTTATATAGCAAGGAGTGGCTCAAAAGATTGACCTTAAATATAAATAAATAAATAAATAAAAATAAAAAAAACCTA